CAGGCCGGGCCGCGCGCGCAGCTCGCACTGCAGGCTGATGTTGGCGCCGGCGGCCACCAGCAGGCGCGGCGGCTGGACGCGCAGGCGCAGGCCGGCCAGCAGGGCGCGACACTGGCGCAGGCAGGCCGGCTCGCCGGAGGAGACCTGCGCCACGGACGCCGCTGCCGGCAGGTCCCGGCTGCCCGCGGAGAGAGCTGGCCCCTTGGAGGAGACCGCGGCGGGGTCGTAGGCGGCTTTCGCGTGGTGGAGGCGCAGCGCGCCGGGAGAGGGCAGCGGTGGGCGCACCGCGACGGGCGGAGTGGAGGCGCTGACGGCCGTCCTGTCGCTGGGGGTCAGGGTGGACGTCTCCTGGACTGGAGCGCCGAAGGCAGTCGTCTCCTCGACGGTCAAATTAACTGGGTTTTGGGGCGATGCCGATGTGGGCGCATTGTCATTGGATGACGTCACGTTATCGCTGAAGTCCGTCGAGTTGATATTTGCCGCCTCGGCTGGAAGTTCGCTCGTGTCTACTCTGGTTGTTTGTACTTCGTCCCTGCTGGACTTTGATATCGTTGTTGTTTCCGTTTCGTTCGTCTGAGCGATTGCCATACTTCCTTGGACTTTGTCAAAGTCCCGGCCGGCGCTGCTGCCCGCTTCACTCTCCGATTTTGTCTCTTCTGAACTGTTATCGGCAAAACTGAGCATCGTGTGGGTGAATGGGACTCCAGACACATTCACAGCTGCTATATCAGACGGTTCCATACCTGCTTTAGAGCTGTTGACGGCTGTAAGTGTTGTGTTCATCAACAGCGCTTCAGATACATTTTCGGCTCGCGCGCCGTGGGAGCGGCGTGATGCTCCTCCTGAGTCGTCTGCATTCCCGGCCACCTTCCCCCCGGCCAGAGCCGCCCCGCCGTCTGAGGCCTTCATCGTCTCGCTGTCGGCCGTCGCATCGGCGGCAGCGGCGCTCACCTCCGATGTGTTCCCGGCTGCCCCGGACAGAGGCGCCTGCGACCCGCTCGCGGCCGCGTCGTGCGCCGTCGGCTCTGCCGACGCGCCGACCGCCCGGCCCCCGGCGGCGTCGGCGGCGGCGGCGGCCTCCGTGGCGTTCGCCGTCGTGTCACCGGCGCCGGAGACCCGCTCCGCCGCCGGAACGACGCCGCTGCTCTCCGCAGGCGCCTGGCCGTCTGAGACAGGGGCGGCCGTGGGGGAGCTCCCCTCGTGCGCCCGGGAGACGCTCTGGGCGGGGGCTGTCGTAGCGACGGCGGTGTCAGCCTCCTGGAAGTACAGGTCGTCCCTGGCGCCGAGGACGGCGGCGGAGTCGTTGCTCGCCCTGCCGACGGGCGTCGAGGCCGCCGCCTTGGCCGCCTCGCCGGCCGCGGCGGCGCGCGCCCTCTCCAGCTGGCGCTCGGCGTCCCAGATCAGCTCGTCCCGGAAGCGCGCGGCGTCCGACATTCGGCCGTCGTCCTCCGAGGACGGCCGGCCGTCCTCGTCGTCGTCCCAGATCGGCCGGCCGCCGCTGCCCTCCGCGTCCTCGGCCGGGGACGCCTCCTCGGCCGGCCCTGGGAGCCGCAGGGCGCCGGCCGCCGCCAGCAGCACCGCCAGCACCAGCAGCAGCGGCGGCGGCGGACCCGGATGCCGCGCGGTCCTCATGGCGTCCTCAGCGCCGGCGGGCGGCGCCGGTCGCGGACATCGGGCCCGGCCGCCGGGCGGCGCCCTCTAAAGGCGGGTGTGGCGCCGTCGGGTCTGGGCTCTGACGCCGCGGTGCTGAGTCTGTGCTGGCGTGAGGTCGGTGAGCCTCGCGCGGACGGCGGTGCACCTGCCGCCACCGCGCCCCCCTCACCAGTCACTGATCACTGACGCCACCGCGAGTCACCACCCGAAGCGGCCGCACTGGTCACCAGCGCCTGCGGTCGTGCAGGCCCGCCTCGCCACCACTTGCCCTGCCCTGACCTGACCTAACCTGCCTTGTCCTGTTCTGCTCTGCCCTGCCCGACCTGCCCTGACCGGTCCTGCCCTGACCTGACACCTGACCTGACCTGACCTGGCGGGGCCGAGCCAGGAGCGGAGCCGGTCGCCGCTCCGGACAGGCGACTCCGGCGGACTGCCAGGGCGGTCGATCCGACTGGAGCGGCCGCCGCCGCTGGCGCAGCCCGGTCGATTTGGGGGCGCGGCTCCGACGTCCGCCTCGTCCTCCGACCTGTAGAGGTGTCCGGTCTGACCCTGGCCTGTAGAGGTGTCCGGTCTCACCCTGACCTGTAGAGGTGTCCGGTCTCACCCTGACCTGTAGAGGTGTCCGGTCTGGCCCTGACCTGTAGAGGTGTCCAGTCTGACCCTGACCTGTAGAGGTGTCCAGTCTGACCCTGACCTGTAGAGGTGTCCAGTCTGACCCTGACCTGTAGAGGTGTCCGGTCTGACCCTGGCCTGTAGAGGTGTCCGGTCTCACCCTGACCTGTAGAGGTGTCCGGTCTCACCCTGACCTGTAGAGGTGTCCGGTCTGACCCTGACCTGTAGAGGTGTCCAGTCTGACCCTGACCTGTAGAGGTGTCCGGTCTCACCCTGACCTGTAGAGGTGTCCAGTCTGACCCTGACCTGTAGAGGTGTCCGGTCTGACCCTGACCTGTAGAGGTGTCCAGTCTGACCCTGACCTGTAGAGGTGTCCGGTCTGACCCTGACCTGTAGAGGTGTCCAGTCTGACCCTGACCTGTAGAGGTGTCCAGTCTGACCCTGACCTGTAGAGGTGTCCGGTCTCACCCTGACCTGTAGAGGTGTCCAGTCTGACCCTGACCTGTAGAGGTGTCCGGTCTCACCCTGACCTGTAGAGGTGTCCAGTCTGACCCTGACCTGTAGAGGTGTCCGGTCTGACCTTGGCCTGTAGAGGTGTCCGGTCTCACCCTGGCCTGTAGAGGTGTCCGGTCTGACCCTGGCCTGTAGAGGTGTCCGGTCTCACCCTGACCTGTAGAGGTGTCCGGTCTCACCCTGACCTGTAGAGGTGTCCAGTCTGACCCTGACCTGTAGAGGTGTCCGGTCTCACCCTGACCTGTAGAGGTGTCCAGTCTGACCCTGACCTGTAGAGGTGTCCGGTCTGACCTTGGCCTGTAGAGGTGTCCGGTCTCACCCTGGCCTGTAGAGGTGTCCGGTCTGACCCTGGCCTGTAGAGGTGTCCGGTCTCACCCTGACCTGTAGAGGTGTCCGGTCTCACCCTGACCTGTAGAGGTGTCCGGTCTGACCCTGACCTGTAGAGGTGTCCAGTCTGACCCTGACCTGTAGAGGTGTCCAGTCTGACCCTGACCTGTAGAGGTGTCCGGTCTGACCTCTGCCCCGTGTGGCTGTCTGGTTTGACTGACTTGTAACCCCTGCACATCCCTCCCCGTGACCAGCGCTGGCCGGGCGTCTGGCGTGTTGTCTGCTCCTCCCCGTGTCTCTAACCCTGTCACCACCATCACCGCGCTCCGTCAGTTTGGGACGCGTCCCTCCATTAGCCAGTCTCCGACCCTGAACTCCGCGAGGGGCGGGCCGCAGACGGCAAAGTTTGCCCCTCGGCTGCCGGCGGCGTCGCGCGACCTTTGCGTGACCTGCGCCTCTTCAAAGGCGACGCCCGCGACTGTGCGGCCTGCGATGGCGCCGTTTGGTCACCGCACCGTGCCTCCCGGGCCGCGCCGCGATTAGCGCCGCTTCCGGTGACCTGGCGGCGACCTCTGACCTTTGGCGCGGGGGCTGCTGTCATCGCACTGCTTGGTACCGCGCCGCCGCGACCTGTCCGGCGGCCCGAACCCCGCGCCGCCGGGCTGCGCCTCCCCTTGGTACGACAGCTTTGTGTCGGGGCACGCCACGTTAGGTGGACGCGGCTGGAGGCGCCGGGCGCGGGTGCCGACTCCGGCGGTCGATCGGGCTGGGCTGCAGGCCGGCGGCGGGTCTGCAGCGGCACTCGCCAGGCGGTCAGGAATGTGAATAGATTTATGGCTGTCGGAAGGAGGCTGGACGGGCACGGAACGGTCGTCTGGTGAGGGGTCCTGGAGCGGCGAGCTTGCTGAGTGGCTGGGTGATGGCGTGAGGCATGACGACAATGTCTGCAGTCCTGGCTGGATAGAAAGCCAGGGGAAATAATGTCTGTTGGACTGCGTTCGCGGTGCTTGGTTTACGCGACCGGAACACATCCAACGATCCTTAGCATGTTATGTGAGGCCTAAACTATCCATAATTTCAAGCGAGCAGGTGGGAGAGGATTGTATATGGTCTTGGCATAGGATTTTGCTGCGTTTTGTCGGCGTTCCACATGCTGTTTTGCTGCGGGCGGATGAGGGTGGGGTGGCTGACAGCCGACCGTAGTCTGCCGCACTGTCAGAGGTGCCGGCCCCCCATCAGCTGGTCCAGACTGGTATCTGAGGGCCGGCAGCAGCCTGCTCCAGTGTCAGAGGTGCCGGGCCCCCATCACCTGGCCCAGACTGGTGTCTGAGGGCCGGCCGCGGTCTGCCGCACTGTCAGAGGTGCCGGGCCCCCGCCGGACCCCCGTTTGGCTGGCCCAGACCGGTTGCGCGTGTTTTCACGACGTAGACGTGTATCGACCCCGTCGTTTATAATTGCACCAGGCTGCCCGTGTTAGCTATCATTCAAGGAAAGTTCAGAGCCGCTTTCCGTTTAACTCCGCGTCTTGAATGAATGCCGCTGTGCCACCTAAATGTCAGCTGTCATGCTGGAGTTCAATTGCAAACGATTCGCCAACACCGGCAGCCGGTAGACGCGGACGATTGAAACGCATTTCCGCATATTCAAAGGAAATATTGCATTATTTGTTATGCCTTATTATGCATTATATATATATATATATATATATATATATATATATATATATATGCATTATATTGCGTATGTCAGTCGCTCTTCTGTGGCAATGGTACAACAATGTTGCAATGTTAAAATGATCAGCAGCGCTATATAAGCGTCGCTGTTTCGTCGACGCCCCCCCCCCCCCTCCCCCTCCCCCCGACCTCACCCCATCTGACCCGCATGTCCTGTTGCAGAGAAGCGCCGCCAGACCGTGGTGCGGGCGCTGGAGAAGAAACACCGCGAGGAGCAGCGGCGGCTCCTGCAGCACGCCGTCATGTTCGCAGAGCGGGCCCAGAAGAACGGTAGGTGACGGCTGAGACAGGGTAGGGAAAAAGGGCGAGGAGAACGGCAGGTGACGGCTGAGACGGGTTAGGTAGAGGGACCCAGCAGAACGGTAGGTGACGGCTGAGACGGGTTAGGTAGGGGGGCCCAGCAGAACGGTAGGTGACGGCTGAGACGGGTTAGGTAGAGGGACCCAGCAGAACGGTAGGTGACGGCTGAGACGGGTTAGGTAGGGGGGCCCAGCAGAACACTAGGTGACGGCTGAGACGGGTTAGGTAGAGGGGCCCAGCAAAACGGTAGGTGACGGCTGAGGCGTGTTAGGGAGAGGGGCCCAGCAGAACGGTAGGTGACGGCTGAGACAGGGTAGGGAGACGGGGTGAGGAGAACGGTGGGTGGCAGTGGAGAAGGGCGTGGACGGCAGAGAACGATGGGTCACGGCGGAAGGAGAGCGGCCGGAGAGTATCGAGAGGAACGGTGGGTCATGGTGGCGTGGGAGAGCATCGAGAAAAACGCCGGATCACGATCGACGGGGGGAGAGGGTAAGAGCGTCGCGAAGACCGGCGGTTGACGGGCGGGAGAGGGAACCAGGGAGTTCACCGGGGGAGGACGGACAGGTCTGGGAGAGCGGCAAGAGGGGAAGAGGAAGGCTCTGTGGAGTGGTGAGGCTCGGTGGGGAGAGGGGGGGGGGGAGGGGCTAGTTCGGATCAAAAGCCGCCGATGACTCCCGGAGTCTGCGCCGGGATCTTCCGGTTCAGAGCCACGGTCACCGCCCAGGAAGCGTTTCCACTCTGCCGTGGACTCCGTGGTCCTTAGTGGTGTCGTGGACTTGGTGGTCCAGCACATGCTTGGGTTTGTTTTTGCTCAGTCCTGTTGGACTGAGCATCGACTTGACCTACGTTTTTACGTTTTGACTATCTGTTTTACGTTTTACATTTTTAGGCATACGTACGTTTTTTTACCTACGTTTTTACGTTTTTACGAGCTTTTACCATTACGTTACCCACCATCTACGTTTTTTATCCCAACTAATATCCGAGTGGTACAGCATGTTGGCGCCAACTTTTGCTGCTGTAGACAAATTAATAACCGATCTTATGCAAAAGACAAGATACATATTTTAGGGACGCTGGTCTGTACCCGGTCAAAGTCGGGCCATTGTTGCAAGCCATTGTTGCATCAAGCGAGGGCAATTTGTGGGGAAGCCTTTTAGCTAATGCAACGGCGTTTTAGACGAAGTTATACAGATATGGGTGAGTCGCGTAGACGGTTAGATAACTGAAATTAGAGTACAGTTTGGGGTTGGCCATTGGCACTGGGATCGGTTATTCAGATGATACCAAGGACAAATCCAAACACTTTTTTACTGAAAACTTGTTAAGGGGTAGTGTTTGACGCTCATTCCGCATTTGTTGGTCGCAGGCGTTTACGGATTTCTTACCTGTCCTTTAGGAGGATTAGTTAGTTTATTATTTGAGGTTATTAATTAAGGAGAACTTATTTAGATGTAAGAATTCCACGCAAATTAGTTCTCATAGTTGTTCACCAGCCTTCGGCGCCTCAGCTGTCTACCTTTTGACACCTCCGAAGGATCAAATTAGTTCTCATAGTTGATCACCAGCCTTTGGTGCCTCAGCTGTCTACCTTTTGACACCTCCGAAGGATCAAATTAGTTCTCATAGTTGATCACCAGCCTTTGGCGCCTCAGCTGTCTACCTTTTGACACCTCCGAAGGATCAAATTAGTTCTCATAGTTGATCACCAGCCTTTGGCGCCTCAGCTGTCTACCTTTTGACACCTCCGAAGGATCAAATTAGTTCTCATAGTTGATCACCAGCCTTTGGCGCCTCAGCTGTCTACCTTTTGACACCTCCGAAGGATCAAATTAGTTCTCATAGTTGTTCACCTGCCTTTGGCGCCTCAGCTGTCTACCTTTTGACACCTCCGAAGGATCAGGTTACCCCTCCCCTTCCCCGCCCGAGCGTGCGTATCCAACCGGTCACCCGTCCCCGTGCTGGTGGTAAACCACGTGACTCAAGAGCGAGGACGGCGCTTGCCACCGGCTCCGTGTTGGTGTCTTGCGCCGCGATCGGACGGCGATATCCGGGCACGAGAAGGCCCGAGCTGTTCAATTTATCTTCCTCCCGCCCCCCCCCCCCCTCGTCCCTACCAAAAAAGCCGCCCCACCTCCGCTTCCGCCCTCTACGTGGCGAGTTCGTGACGAGTTGGTGAGTGTATGGCGAGTTCGTGACGGCAGCGGTGGGTGGCGTCAACAGGTCCAGTGAGAGGCAACACGGAGGCGTGAGCTGCGTGCGGCGCCGCGCGAGCGGAGGGGGCGGCGCTCGTTTGTCGTGGCGTGACGACCGCGTGCGGAGTCCGCCCGGTCACGCCATGCTCAGTGATCAGTCGATCTCCGGACTCACGCCACGCCGGCGTGATGACGCCGGCGTCGCGCCGCCGGTGCGTGGGAAAGAGCGGTCCGAAGCGGCGAGCACGGCACCCGGTCCACATGATCCGTTTGCGTATGTTTGTATTGTTTGTGTATGTTTGCATTGTGCGTGTATGTATGTTGGTAGCATGGCCCAGCATAGTAGCACAACTAGCTAGAATCTGCCTCGCGAACAGCGTGTGTCCATGCACCTATGCTTATTATTCGTCAATTACGTCTGTGCCCCCTATCTTCATTAGCATACACATACCACCCAGCGGCAATGTCGGCACATTTCCGCACACCGTAAGCGCAAAATACCTCGGGGAGCTATCGGACCTTTTGCCGGCGCAGCGAAACGGCCGGCAGCGCCCGCTGCGCGAGGCTCACTTCAGGGCTCCCCCGGGACAGACACCGGCCGAACAAACACGCCCTCAGCGTGGCGGCACGTTGTACACAGCCAGCCCGGGCCGCTCTGCCGCCGCGCCGCCTGGCTCCACCACACCCCGCTCTGCCGCTGCGCCGCCCGGCTCCACCACCCCGCTCCGCCGCCGCACCGCCCGTCTCTACCGCGCCCCGCTCCACCGCCGCGCCGTTCGGCTCCACTGCGCCCCGCTCCACCGCCGCGTCGCCCGGCTCCACCGCACCCCGCTCCACCGCCGCGCCGCCCGGCTTCACCACCCCGCTCCGCCGCCGCACCGCCCGTCTCTACCGCGCCCCGCTCCACCGCTGCCGCCCGGCTCCACCACCCTGCTCCGCCGCCGCACCGCCCGTCTCTACCGCGCCCCGCTCCACCGCCGCGCCGCCCGGCTCCACCGCACCCCCGCTCCGCCCGGCCGTCAGCGGCCGTTGTCGGGGCGGCGGTGTGCGGGTCACCCGGTGTGGAGCTGAGTCGCTGGGTCGCTCCCTCGGGCCGGGCTGGGTCGCCCCTGTTTGCCGTATGTTGCCAGGGCCGCTGCCGCCGCCGCCGCCGCCGCTAGGGTGGTCGGATTCGGCCGTTTATTGAACGCGGCGCTTACAACGGACATTGTGGTGAAAGCGCTGCAGCTATTTTGGGGGTTTGAATAGCTGTGAACGTTGCAAGGTGCCCTGAATCACGTCAGTGTGTCAAAATCAAGATTTGGGTTGCCTGTATTCATAGTTACGGACGATTTCCTGCTCCCTCAGTTTTGAGCCCTTGTAGTTTTGGACTCCCATCCATGGGTCGATTACATTCTTCGCTGATCTGGGTCTCCTTCGGGCTTTTCGGTCTCATTTTTCCGGTGATTTCGGTCTCCACGGCACGTTTGCGGTTTTAACGCGCTGAACCACTGAACCTGAACGACGCATTACACCAACGGTGGCGCTGAATTATGGACACAGTGGTCGCGCTGGGGGCAGGAAAAAGGCATCCCTGTGTCGGATGGGATCATTTGGGAAGGTCGAGGCGTCCTCGGTTCCAGCCGGTCGGTGCTCCTCCACTTGGTAACACCGTCCTTGCTTCCTCGCAGTGGGAGAGTACGAAGCGCTCGGTTCCAGCCTGTCGGTGCTCCTCCACTTGGTAACACCATCCTTGCTTCCTCGCAGCGGAAGCGCACGAAGCGCTCGGTTCCAGCCGGTCGGTGCTCCTCCACTTGATAGCACCATCCTTGCTTCCTCACAGTGGGAGAGCACGAAGCGCTAGGTTCCAGACGGTTGGTGCTCCTCTACTTGGTAACACCATCCTTGCTTCCTGGCAGCGGGGGCAAGCGGAGCGCCCTGCCCCCCCCCCCCCCCCCCGTCCTCCCCCGCCCCCAGCACTGAAGTGGGCGTGACCCGGCTGGAGACCCGTTGCCGAGCGGCCGCCGTCCGCGTCAGTGTAGCGGGGCGAATCCCTGGGCTGTGCCCGCCGGCGTCGGTGAATATTGCAGGAATCGGCGGCCAGCCACGGCCGGCGGCGCGTGAATGATTCACCGGCACGTTTGAATGATTCACCGCCCCGTTTCAGTGATTCAACGCTATGTTTGGCGTGATGCATGGTATGTAGTGGAAGGCTCGCGTTTATTGAGTTCGTGATTTACGGAAATGTGTCACTTTTGGGCTTGGGTGCCCGTTTGCCAGCGGGGTTTTAAGGCCGAGGTGTCAAAGTGTGTTTCGTAGTTACATTTGATGCATATTTTGGTTCTGAAGTGTTTCTCAGTTTTCTTCGCGGCACAAATCCGTCTTTACGTAAGCTGAAGCCACTGTCGCCACCTGTCAGAAGAATCACAGATCGCGTGCCCTGTTTAATGTAGCGGAAAGTAGCTTAAAACGACCGAGCATCTGCGAAGTCTGCCATTCTGTTCTACTCGCAGAAAATCTATCGAGATCACTGGCTGAACGCTCAGCGCATTTCTCTGATTGATATGTATGGATGATTTGCTGTTTTGATGATGTCACTATTAACTACGACGGCTGAGACACTACGACGACTACACTACACTATGACGACTACGCTCCCTCCCCGCACATCTAAGAAGCGCGCAAGGTGGCGTAGTGCAAGGTAGTTCATGCAGGGTGGCGTAGTGGTTAACGCACCTGCGTTAATCTCTACGCGTATGGCAAACCGGAGGTACGGGGTTCGATTCCCCGCGGTATCCGGCCTTTCCGCCAGGGTGAGAGGCAGGCGACGCCGTATGCAGCAGCAGCTGAGTGCGTCGTAAAGCTCCAATGACAACGACGACGACAGGGTGTAAATACATTTGGCTGTAATTTTTGCGTGCGTCAGAAATATTAATTTGCGTTGTCTTACGACGTTTACTGAAACCCCCTGAAAGTCACATTTTGAATTCGTTTCTGCTATTCGTATCGAAAGATGCTTATCGCCGAAATATCAACGCATCCATATGTCCATTCTCTTGGTTTTTTGTCCGAGGAATAGGGCTGTTACTGCTTTCTCATCTATGTGCATAATGTTCCTCGCAAATGCATTCAACAACTTATGTAATTTTCAGCTCTGTCTAGGTCGAATCAGATCGTTTGAACACGGACAGGCTCACTGCAGTCAGTATCCATTCACCGCTACTGATTCACTGGCCCGTTTGAATGACACATCACCCCGTTTCAGTGATTCAACGCCGCGTTAGGCTGACGCATGGCATGCAGTGGAGGGCTTGCGTTTATTGAGTTCAATTGACGGAAATGTTTCACCTCCGGGTTGGGCCCCACGCTTGCAAGCTGGAGTTTTAAACGTCAGAATGTTTAAGCTTGAGGTTTGAAAACGGTTTACTTTGTAAAATATATTTACATGTATATATATATATATATATATATATATATATACATGATATGTTTGCACAGGAAATGTGTATGTTCAAGAATTATGAAGGACATTGTGCTTGAATTGGCACTTTTTTCTTTTCTTTTTTCTTTTTGATGACATGGATGTGCGTCGCACAGCCTGCCTGAGACAGCCCTGGTGGCCGTGTTTCAAACCACAATGGTATGGGGCAGTTTCTTATAGTGTCACCTCTGTCTCCTCCCATGAGGGCCGCCCATGTGGTTGTGTTTGGATTCTCTACATTTCGTTACTGTCACGTTTGGATAATATACCTTTTTGGTGATACTGCTCTTGATACTATGTTTGCGGATGTATCATCCGGTAAATTTGCGCTCTATTGGGGTACAAATGCATCTAACTGCAAATGCATGATCCGTAAATGTCCGTAGCTTTTTTAACACTCCTATTGAGGGTATGAGCAAAGTGCTTGGTTCTTGAATAAGTGGGGAAACCCCCCACTACTCAAGAAGCTGTGTAAAACGTGCGAACACAATACGGGACCGACGAGAAACCCTTGCCTATCACAACCTGGTAACCGGGTCAGTTCTGTCCAAGCCAGGTGAGCTCAAATATGCTGAATGTGGCCCGTGCTTGTGTTGTTTTGATCATCACTGAAGGTGGTCGCCTTGTTATTGGAAATGATATTAAGTTGGGCGTTGCCAATATGGTTGGGAAAGTTGCAAGCGGGGAATGGATCTCAGACTGCGATTTTATATTGACGATGTTTGCCTCAGTTGGTTTGCATCTTGAGTACTGGAGACGGCGTTCTAGTGATGACAGAGAAACCTGCCGCCAAAGTGAACCTTTTGAAACACACTAACGTGGCTCACAAGTTTTGCTGTGGCATAAGAGATTATAGACTCTTAAAACCACCAAGCTGTGTTGACGCTACTACCACTACACTCTCAAGGCGGTCGGCTGGGTTGCCTCAAAAGAACAAATTAGACAAGAACACCGCTGGAACATCACCCGAGACGACCTCACCAGAAACGATGCCATCGCCACCTCACTACCAAACAGGAAGAAGATCCGTGTTCTGGAGACTGTCATCAAAGCGCCGTCTCCAAAGCTCAATTAGCGAAGCGATCCCTCGGTCACCCGTCATCTCATTTAGACATGATGAGTGTCATCATCACAGACTGTTATTTTCGGCATTTGTTTCGCAGTTGGAATAATTGTGCCTCCCAAAGCGTCAAACACCTCTGTTTGGCGTGGTACAATTTGACGATCAAACTAGATTGGGGTGTATCTAAGCGCTTTTCTGTGAATATGCCTGCGCCCTTATTGTTGTGTATGTGCCTTGGCGAACGAAATATGTCATTTTGAAACGTCAGGCCAATTTATAGATTATGAGTATCGATTATCTACTTTTTACCCTTAGTGATCAACAGAAGGTTGATCTTATATACAATACGAAAACTTGGGCATGCACAAGCAGGGTCATTAAATGTGCGTTTTTTTGCCAAGATCTTCAACAAGCATTGAAGATGATTTGATGCCCACGCGCACTTATTATATATATATATATATATATATATATATATATATATATATATATATATATATATATATATATGTATGTATACATATTATACAGATATGAATTATGATATTTGTCATAGAGATAATCAATAATTATATAATATACATATATTATAGATTGTAATTTATTCCTCATTATGTATTATGTTTATATTGATATGCTATGTTATATTTATTATTATATATGATTATTATAGATATTATATTTATTAATTTGATTGTGATAGGAACTTCACCTTGTCTTTCCGGTGCGCTTTCCATTCGGTTATTTCTTGTGAGGAAGTTTAGTGATGACGGGCAGAAATTTCGCACGCCTTGAGTGATGCGACTTCAGAATTACGAGCATGCACTGTTCCAAGCATACATAGCTGTGCCTTGTTAACATGCCTCGTGCCGGGCGTCCCACCATCCGCCTCAATAATTCACG